CACCAAACACACATGGTTTGATTTAGTGAAAAAGAGCAGGGTTTGGCTTTAGAATCTTACGGGATGTGAACACCACTTTCTTGGGTGAAAGTCTGTAATTGTTGTCACCCCAGTTGGACTTTCGCCCCCTTAACTTTTGTCCTTGTCCCGCTGCATTTCCCCCTGATGCCGCCGGGCATTGTTAAACTATATCGCAACCAGCCACGTATCATGCTGACGTTTAAGGACGCCTTTTTTCGTTGGTTTCTGATGCTGCAAGTCACTGCCCACTGCACCGGATTTCAACGACCTCAGAGTGTGACCGGGCTCTTTAACTTGCTCCTGAAACCTGACACCTCTTAGCCTTCACAAGTCATCAATATTGGGTGTGCAAGGTGGGCTGGATTTATACCCTTTGGCGTGCCAGTTCTGGCCCGCAGGCCTTATGTTTGAAGCCCTTGCCCTAAAGCATACTCTGCTTTATCATATATTTTACTCTAAATGGAACCATCATTTACCAAATGAACATCATGCTGTGTTAAAGAAGACTTGAAACTGATGACTGAGACATGAACTTATTTGAAACATGTTTACTGAGGTAAAAAGTCAAGTGAGTAGTAGGGTTATCTTTGCATAGACTTGCATACAATCAGACTTCTTTTTGCAAACACTGGAGTCGCCCCCTGCTGGCCAGAAAGAATGCAGGTTTAAGGCACATAAGGCATAATGGCTTCCCTTCTCAGATTCAATTATAACTCCTAGCTAAGTACCTGCAAAACTAATGACATTGCATCAGCTTCAGCTTTGCTTTGTGTTTAGTGCCTTTTTGCAAATCTAAATATGTGCTAAACAGTAGCATGTTTGCATGGTAACATTTGCATTTCATTTGACTCCTGCAGCCCCACAAAGCTGTTGGCATGGCTGTAGACTCTTGGTGCCGTAGTTTTTCTGTTTAATTGTGCTGCACACTTCTGAAATCTGAAATGTGTTGGGCTTAGATGTTATTCTCAGTTGTGCATTTAATGTTAAATAATAGACATGCATAAAATGTGTCTGTGTGGTGCACCAGTAACGGGGTTAAAAACTTACCAACACTTACTGCATATCATCAATGAACAAAAGAAGTTAATCCACCACAGTCTATGTTTTGTGTCAAATTCAAGCAAGCAGGTCAGGACCCTTGACACCACGCTGCAAAGAGTATCACAGAGATTATGCTGAATGCATGTATCGCAAGTGACAGTGTGGCCCAGTCGTGACCCTGAAGTCACACCTAGGAACCAGAGAAGGAGAGGGGAAGGGTTTCCATTATGTGTCAGTGTGATGGAAGCACCCATCCTTCTCTAATCCCCACCACTTAAGAGCCCAGGCGATATCTACTTAAAGAGACATTATGCAGGAAATGTTATGCAAATGGCTTGTTTATCGCTTCATCTCCCTGTCAGCCACTTGTTTCGTGCTCCGTCTGCAGTGTGCCATGCTGATCTCTGGCTTAGGGAAGAGCATAATCTTTTAACACCTATCTGGCAGATTTTTCTATTGTTGTCAGATCTGATATGCGACAGGAACTTGAGTCACTTACTGGGTTTACTTTATAACAACCAGAGCAATATTTCAGGGAGACATGGGGGACACCTGAGGTTATCTCTCTGTATATATTTGCATTAATTCACATGAGTCAGTCAGCACGCGTGCAGTGAATTTTGAAGTGTGCTGTGTGTATATGGGGGGCTCTCCCTAAGCTGCACACATTGGGAGACCCTTACTAAGCAGATTACCTCTGTAAATCTGTGTCAGGATATGTTTCTGCATGTCTAGTCATGCAAAAAGAGAGAGCGTGAGAATGCGGACACAAAGCATGTTTACAGTATCAGATACACATCCCTGTTGAGTGTCTCCAGACACTGAGCCACTGTTGATGTGCCATCTGCTGACATCTACTGCACAAGTTAAGGTACATGCAAACACATTTCCATATATTTGCACACTGCCTGCATATGTGCATTTGTAGCATTGAAGATGATAAAAGTAGCTTTAACAGGAAATAGAATCTTTGGATGTGGAGGTATTTAAAGACCGTTTCCTGTGTTTGACATTTACCTTGAATTAAGGAACACAAGCATTGTGACTCACAGCTGCCAGAGGTGTAGCATGGGAGCCGAGCTGGCAACATGACGTGTGTCCGAGAGGAGGGGGGGGGGGGGGGACCAGTTGTTGTCCTCCTTCCGTGGGGAATAAACTCTATCACTCACAGCGCAGGTGGTGGGAAAGGGGGGGAGAGAAAGGGAGAAGAGAACGACTGAGCGAGAAACAACGGCAAACAGGAAGCAGGGACCTTATAACACAATGCTCGCAGAGTTTCCTGCAGGCTCAGACAGATAAGGAGCAACACTTTGTTTAAAGCTGTATTTTCACCCACAAACGTTTCCCAATCTCGAAAACCATGTCTTACAATGCTCGTACGATTCCTCTGCACTTCACCTGGGATCATGTGGATTTTGAGTTTTTGAATGTGTACCTTCAACCTTAATATCTCAAACTATATGCCTGCAGTAGTGCGTTTAACAAAAGCAAAGTACAGTAAGGAAATGTCTAATTATTATAATGACCGTTGCTACTGTTACCATTATGACAATGTTGGCCTACGTCATGAGGTCAGGGGCCAGACACAATAAGCATCATCAGCAGCACATTTCTTATCTTAAACACAAGCATGAATCCCACACTTCCATGTGAAACAGCCATGCATAACTACATAATAATGTCACACAATGCAAATAAACATTGTTAATGCCTGGATGTGACAGTCACAACTTCTTTAGACTGTATTGAGGTGTGACTGGCTAGGAAAGAACAATTAATCCACACCTGACACTCCCTTTTGTGCATGTTGTTCTGCACTAGTCATTACACTGGTGCATCTAGTGCACACTCCAAATGAGCATTATTTATTCACTGGCAGTTTTGCATTACAATCCGCAAGTGAATGTTTATGATTGTGGAATTGTGGGGATTTTAATTTCTAGTAACTGCGTAATATTTTTTGTGTGTATAAATGAACCCAGTCACCCTTGAAAAACGACAGGATGAAAGATGACACATGAAGTTTGTGCTGTAAACTGCAGCCGGTGACAGACTAACAATGCCCCCTCAGCTGTGCCCTTTGCCCCTTTTACATGGGAGAATAAAGCTGCCTTCTAAAAACTGAATTTATAGATTGAAAACACATGAACAATATGACAAGGTGATGACAAACAAGGGTGTGGGTTTTGTTTCAACACTGGGGGGAGACACATATGAACTGGGGGGTGTAGCAGTCCTCTGCCAGAAAATTATGAGCATCAAACACTTTTTTTTCTGAATCAAGTGATGGTCTAAATATCTTTTATTTTGTCAAAATAAAAGTACTTTCAGGTTTTCATTTGCAGGGGACAGATGCACATGCTCTAAATCTTGAATCCCTGTGTTTCCCCTGATATGTACACCTATGCTGAGAGCTTAGCTAACAAGTAATGAAATTAATTGTGACATGAAAAACAGGTCTTTTGTTAAAAATGTCAGGCTTAACTTCTCTGTCCCACTTGAAAATTAACAATACACAATACAGTGTACACACAGCGTTCATTACGTGTCTGACTAACCGTGAATACTCACCAAGTTCTGTTCAACAACCTGACAACAACGTCTGGATGAAGCGCAATGTAGACACCAACATGGAAACGCCACAGCTGGAGCAACATCTCCCTCTATGGACCAATAATGGTATTACACTCAATAATCAAATAAATTCAGTAAGGACATTACTGAGTAACAGACGTAGGAGCAAATTGGGGGAAGGACGATTTTTTTTTTTACATGACAGGGTTGCCTGAAAATAAGATTTCCAAGCCCTGACAACAAGTCATGATATTACTTACATATATTACACAAAATACACTTTTGAGGACTATTTTTGCTTTATAATATTTCACTCTCTCTACAGTAGGAGTTGACTGTTGGAGGATATATGGGTGATTCTTCAACTATCTGAACTGTGTGTCCCTGACAAAAAAAACCCAAACACGTTATTTATTTTTGTTTTTATTCATTATGTGTAGCTATATAAAAACTTCCCTTTAATGTGTAGGTTTTGCTGTATTTTCTTTGCCCCTGGGGCAAATTTTGGACAGTCAACCCTGCTTAAATTGAAATTTAATACTGATCTAATATTAACGTCAAATACAAACGACAAATGAACACCCAGTTCATTAAAATTAATCTACGACACATGTCCCTTGGAATTAATGTAATTTCCACTTCTCTGTAAAATGTAAATTTAGTGAGATTTTTTTTTATTTTTATTTTTATTTTATTTATTTATTTATACTTGGCGACCACCGCATTAGTCACGTGCCAGCAGAGCACATGGCTGAAGATATCAAGGTAAGTTTTTGTGGAAGGACGAGTATGTTTCCTGGCTGTCATTTCCAAACAGCTTATATTTCCGTTGAATGTACAAATAAACTGCATTTTATATCGTGCAGCCAATTTCGTGTACTGTTATATTTAATACCACTAGCAAGCAAGCATAGGCCTATCATGAGATTTTTTAATGTGACAAAATGTCATTTACACAACATCACAGAGGCACATGGAAATGAAATGACAATGCAAGTGATATTTTACTGAAGATACTGTATCAGTAGCCTATGTATCCCCAAATATGTGGTAGATTTTGTTAAAGTTTCCAGACCAAAATGGACCATAGTTGAAGAATGACATACGTTTACATATATATACAAAATAGATCGCACTATCACCATATCATGGAGCATTCAAGGTGACATCAGCTGACTTTGAGCAGCGGTCAGGCCCGTCTTAGTGGGAGTGACTATGTAAATCAGCATCAAAGGGACACAGGCTAAATGCTGGGGCATCCCTCATCTGATTGGGCGCCTTTGTTCTTTCAAATCGAGGTGTCCTCTCCCCTTTATTGGCACCAACGGGCCCCTGAGGGGGACAAGACGTGTTTTACAGTAAGACTGTCCTCCATGCTGCATGGACTGTTACACTGCTGGGATGATGGAGTGACACTGTAAAGGAAAGATGGCCTGTCAGAGACATGATAAACCAAACAGACTGAAGGAAGAGCTGAGCTGCATGCTGGTTGGTGATGGAGCTGTGGGGAAGACCAGCATGATCATCAGCTACATCTTCAATGGATACAACAGCGAGTACAGACAAACAGCGTTTGATGTTTTCACTGGTGAGTAAAGGTTATGTTACGAAGGTTAATGGCTGCTTGACTCAGTGGTTAAACTGATTAATGCTTGACTTCCAGGTTTGGTTCATGTGAGTGGAATTCCAGCTCGAATCAAGCTGATAGATACTGCTGGACAGGTAAATGCTCCATGCCACACTGTGATTTCTTTACCAGAACAGTTTGTCCTTCCCTCCTAATATCTCCTTGTCTGATCTGACAGGAGGAGTTTGGCCACCTTCGCTCTCTGTGCTATGCCCACGTGGACGTCTTCATCCTCTGCTTCAGCCTGGTCAACCCCGTCTCTTTTGACAACATCACCTCTAAATGGATCCCACAGATCAGAGCCGGCAACCCGACCTCTCCCATCGTCCTGGTTGGAACTCAGTCAGACCTTTGCCACAATGTGGACGTCCTCATTCATCTGGACGAGCGTAACACCAAACCAGTGCACTTCAGGCGGGCCAGAAGGCTGTCACGCAGGATCAGAGCTCATGGCTACGTGGAGTGTTCAGCTCTGACACAGCACAACCTCAAAGATGTGTTTGACTGTGCTATATTTGCTGCCATCAAGCACAAGAGCACTGGCACCAAATCTAAAAAGCTCAGCCTGCTGAAACGTTTGAAGACTTTTTGTGATTGTGGATGGAGGAAAATCTCCAGATTCATCTGATGTGGAACCAAAGAGTGGATTAACTGTCGCTACTGTGATTAGTGGAGGCAGTTTTTTGGGGGATTCTTATGACAAATCATGCATTTATATCAAACTATTTCTCCACAGAATATGAACTGTACAACCTGCACTGACATGCATTCAAATGTGACAGTATCTATCCAACATTGCTGTATTAAGAAGGCTTTATATTCTGCTCTTTTTTATCTTCTCTTTCCTTCATCTCCTTTATTTGTTGCTGTTGTCCATATTTCTGTGTGTATGTGTGTCAAAGGTTTGTAATAAATGCACTACAGCTTAAAACACCGAATTACCAGTTGCTGTTTTTTCAGGGATTGCTTTATTTATATAAATGTGAGCACAGACAGTCTGTAGATCCTGCAGTGCGAGATACTGTCAGTGAAGAAATGGAGGGAAAACACAAAGTGCTATTTGAGACAAATGGTTCCTGCTGATTCTTTGAAGTGCTACTTTACAAGACAAAAGCCATTTAGATCCATCCTCTGTGTGAAAGCTTATCTGCTGGGGCATGTCAATCCAAATTACTTTTAAAACAGCCACACACATGCACTTCTCTTTAATAAAATGATGACCAATTTTAATACCAGTAATTAGGGTTTGCCCCAAATTATTGTGATATCAACAGAAACCAGTACAAAAGATGAACTGTGATATTTGGAGTATCTTATCAATATCTTATTATGTTGCATAGTCTCTACTCATTTGAAGAGCACAAACAACACTAAAGAAGAAACACAAGACCCAACAAATAACACATTATCTGCAAAGTAATCTCAAATATGTGGCTTCTTGCTTTCATCCTGTAATAGTCTGAGTGTCATGTAGGAAAGACTAGGTGAGAAAAATGTGACACTTCCCCTCCTTCAACAATTGTTGACACACAACAGTGTTAGGGAGTGGTGAGATACATGTAATTTAACCAGTAGTTCAACCACATTTTGCAGTAGCTTGCTGGTAGTTCAACTACATTCATATTTGCACAAAGCTGCAAGTAGTTCAATTACTTTTTTTTTTTTTTTTTTTTGCTTTTTTTTGTGTAGCTAACTACTGAAACTATACAAACAATGTTGTGGCATAAAATGAAAGGAATGATTTAATTATTTTATCATATTTTTTAATTGCTTCTTTGCTGTAATTGAACCGCCACTGACAAATCACAATTTGCCTCACAGGGCTTTACAGCATATGACATGCCTCTGTCCTTTGGACCCTCACAACGGATAAGGAAAAACTCCCCAAAAACCCTTTAATGGGGGTAAAATGGTAGAAACCTCAGGAAGAGCAACTGAGGAGGGATCCCTCCTCCAGGACGGACAGACGTGCAATAGATGTCGTACAGAACAGATCAGCATAATAAATTAACAGTAATCCGTATGACACAATGAGACCGAAAGAGGAGAGACAGAGAGAGATGCAGGACAGACGGTAATGACAGTAGCTTACAACAACATTCAATTAAGTAATAATATTATGATAATAATTAAGGCTATTGTGGTACAATATGTATAGGTATAGTATATGTATGTGACTATCATATATTAATCTATACCTACAACATATTGTATGTCTGTACATATTGTGCCCTAGTACACACATTGTCTCGTCACATGATCAAACAGAGACTCAGCACTTGAAAACATCAGCATATATGTTACCAAGCAATCATCATTGCATCTGTATATGACCAAAAAATACCAAATAAAATAAGAAATTATTAATTTAATCCTTTTATGGTTTATTTATAGTTTATGTAGAATAAGCATAGACATGTGTTATAGATTATAGATGCTACTGACTATTTTACAAAAATAAATAAATGGTACATGCCTGCTCTCTCTATGGGCCTCCCCACCCCACAGGCCCCAGTGCAACACCACTGCCTGCACTATCTATATTTACGCCCCTACTATTGATTATTGCTATTCATTAACAAATGTTCAGTGAAGTAGGTGCATGTTATTCTAGAAGTTATTTGGCTAAATGAGTAATCCTTCCTGGTGCAAAACCCCCTGTTGGACTCTTGTTTATGGAAGGCAGGTGTCTGACTGTTGGACATTGGAATAAAATAAAATAAAATTAAATTAAATTAAATTAAATTAAATTAAATTAAATTAAATTAAATTAAAAACCAAAAAACAAACAAAAAAGCTGACATTCCTTGCACTTTCCCTTGAATTATTTTATAATTATAATTTCAATTTTATAATTATTTTTTGGTTTATGACCTGCAAACAAGTTGGCACTTTGTGCAATAAACTCAATTTAGTGTCATTTTTTGTTGGCATTTTGTATCATATTTTGTTATAATTTTGTATCATATATATATTGTCAATTTGTCATCATCATTTTTATTTATTTATTTATTTATTTATTTATTTTTTTTTTTACAGAGTGTGACCTGCTTTTTCTAAGTAGTTAATCCGACCAGATTTCTCCCTTTGGTAGCTTTACTGCATTTTCATTTATTTCAGTGCTTTCAAATTAGCCTCCCCAACAGTGCATACAGGACACCCAGACCCTGCAGCACTAATAAATAATTAGGTTTTATGGCGGTGGCCGTTTAAAAGTTCAGATCTGATTTTGTGAACACCTGACAGCATTTTGTAAACAGTACAGAAACTGTTGACTCAGCTCGGGTGCCTTCAGAACTCCATTTCCCATCATGCAGCAGCGCGCTAGCCTCCTCTGACCCTGTGACTGAAAATAATCTGATCAGCTGATCTGACCTGGCAACAAAATAACGTATCTAGAGAGAGCTCTGCCAGGGAGGGGGCTGAAGAACAAAACAATGACACTGCTCGGAAAGATTCAAAGACACTAACACTTTTTAAAAGAGTTTCTAGAAACGGAGCAGCGCGGATTTCCCTCCCGTTTGAAAAGCAGAAGAGTCCGCTGGTATCCGAGCTGTTTGACATCGCCTGCTTGTTGTTTTTGTTGAGATGTTGTTACAGCTCAGTTGACAGACTGAAGGCTAGCTGCTTGTTTGGACGGCTATGAACTGTTGGAGCTTGCTGGCCCGCTAATTAAAGCTTTTTCTTTGGGAAAAAAAAGTTAAAGCTGTCCGTCGAAACCAACTAGCTGTGAGCTAAGTGTTGCTGCTTGGATGCCAAAATATCCACCGAGTTTGCCAGCGAGCTACTGAGGGTCAGTTTGCTAGCTAGCCTGTTGTTAGCATCAACATTTGCACATTCATCCTTTCAGGGAGAGCTCATTGTCTCGGTCGGTACTGGCTACCTGTACATGTTTCTGTATTATTTTACAGTTTTATCCGCTAACCTTAAATATTATTTATGTAATGCTAAAGCTAAATGCTAACTTTGGTTCATGAACAAGCTAACTAGTTAGTAGTGTTAAAGAGATATCAGGTGTAACTCAAAGAGACGGCTGTTTGTGCTCCACTGCCTCACTGTTAGTTGCACTAAATGACTTTAATAAAAGCCTTTTAAGTGTTTTAAATTCATTAGAAAGCTAGCTTATTGTGTTACTGTTTAGAGTTGCAGCTATTGGATCATCATCATTGGATCTGCTACCATGCAGCTGTTGTAACTTGATTTAGTCTTTGTGTTTGGACATTTTATTTGTCAGTGTTACTGCATGTTGTACATTTTTCATTAACTGCTGTTGGACATAGCTGCTACTGTTGCTACTCCAACAAGCACTGCTCTGTATTCAAGTTTACCTTGTAAGAAACGATGAGTGGGAATGGCTCATCTTCAGAAAAGGGAGTCAACACCAACCTAATATGTCAAGAGAGTTATACCTGTGGTGGCTCTGAGGAGGCTGCATTTGAGTGTGATGAATGCAAAAGCTTGCAGTGTGTCCGTTGTGAGCTCGAGCTCCACAGTCAGGAGCGTCTGAAGAACCATGAGCGGGTTCAGATAGGACCTGGGCACGTCCCTTACTGTGACAACTGTAAAGGAGGTAACGGAGACAATGGCAAACGCCATAGATCTGTGGTCCGCTGCCAGAACTGCAAAGTTAACTTGTGCCAAGACTGCCAGAAACGCACCCACAGCGGAGGCAACAAAAAGAAACACCAGCTCACATCTTATCCCCCACCGCCCAAACCTGCTGAGGTCAACTCCGTCCAGACGTCTGTCCCAACTGCTGTCCAAATAGCCGATGAGACCAAATCTCAGAGAGCAAAACTTCTGGAGAAGATTTCCAGTTTTCTCTTGGTCGATGAGAACGAGGACATGCAGGTGAGTTGTGCAAAAGTCACATTTGTCTTTGAGTAGGAAAAGACTCAAAACACCTCAACATATTATCTCTTCTTACTTTTGTTTCCTTGAAGATAAAAGATGAGTCTTCATTTGTGAAGAGCCTGAGCTGTAACCCTGACCAGCTGCTGAAGGTGGTGTCCATCTTCGGCAACACCGGAGAGGGCAAATCCCACACCCTGAACCACGCCTTCTTCATGGGCAGAGAGGTGTTCAAAACTTCTCCCACACAGGAGTCCTGCACCGTGGGTGTGTGGGCGGCGTTTGACCCCTTCCGTAACGTAGTGGTCATCGACACGGAGGGCCTGCTTGGGAACAGTTCCAAACAGGGCCAGAGAACCCGTCTGTTGCTCAAGGTGCTCGCCATCTCCGACCTCATCATCTACCGCACCCATGCCGACCGTCTCCATGACGACCTCTTCAAGTTCCTCGGGGATGCCTCGGATGCTTACTTGAAGCATTTCACCAAGGAGCTGAAGGCCACGACGGCCCGCTGTGGCCTGGATGTCCCTCTGTCCACCTTGGGCCCTGCGGTGGTCATCTTCCATGAAACAGTGCACACTAAGCTGCTGGGTTCAGGTGAACACTTGTGTCACTCCCTAGTTCTGCTAGGAATGTTTATAGTGTCTGTTGCACATTAATTAGACAAGTCAATGCTTTAAACATAATTTTACTAGAAAAAGTCCATTAAAACTAAAAACTAAAATACTCTGTGACTGTATCACCATGAAGGTAGGTCTGCACCACCCTAAGGGATGGCAGGTGGTGTCTTTAAAGTAAACTAAGGGATCAGTCCTGCAGATAATGACAGGTTCAGCAAATATTAGCCCACAGCCTACTTTAACATCACAGGAGGTAGCGACCTGCATTCCAGCTTTTTGTGAAATGTGGACACACTGCTTTTTGAACTATAAAGAAAACTGAGCATGCTGTGTAGTTAAGTCAAAGATGTCATATTTGTAGCGATAATCCAGCAGCCAGTTTTTATTGCTGCAACCTATACTTTACATTTCTGTCAACCATTTTCCAGTGTGTGCAGTCTACTGTAGTTTAAATGTCACTGT